GTACAGTGCTTCAACCGTCGCGTCGAAACGCAGAACCCAGTTCCTCGGGCTGTTGTAGAGCTGTTTGACGGCTTCGTCGACGCCCGCTTCTTCCCCCGAGCGGCGCAGCACGCAAGTTCGCTGCGCCAGGCGGGGATTGGCCTGCTTCTTAAAGAACTTGCAGAGCTTCCTGGGGCTCTTGTAATAGATCACACACCCACTCGGCGCCTGGGCAAGCGCTCGCAAAACGCGGGGCAGTGTAGGCAGGTCTTCCGCGAGAGCCTCTGTTACAGCCACGTGGTAGCTCTTGCTCGAGTTCCGAAGCTTCTCCGTGTACTGGATGCCTTTTGGAGAATCCTCCCGTGCAAAGTCAATCGGCGTTGTGAAAAAAAAAGCTCCCGTGAACGCTGCTACAATCTGGGCGGCGATGCAATAGTCGGTGTCAGCTGTTGGCGCCAAGACTACGTTCCCCTTCTTCCCCTGGGCCGTATGACGGGCAAGATAGTCCAGGAAGTCCACCGGGTCCTGAAACACCTTGAAACGCAAGCGCTGCGCCTTGCTGCGATCGCCCACAACTACCATGCGAGCCAGCATGAGCCCAGCGGGGCGCGGAGGGGGCAGCAAGTAAGCGTCGCGGCCCGCGGCTGGCCTGGCACTGTGCAGGACTTTCTTCTCTCGGGTACTCCTGGCCTTGGCGGCGGCCTTCGCCCCTCCAAGATTGCGCTCTCGGATCTTGGCCTCCCGCTCGGCGACGGCGGCGACGACTTTTGCAGCGGGCCCGACTGTATCTGCGCCGCTCGCCTGGGCCGCCTCCTGAGCCAGCACGGCGAGATCGGGGGCGCCCTCCGCGAGAAGGCGGGCGCGCTTGCTCGGGGAAGCGGCCGCCATGGCGTCGACGGCAGCTGCTCGCCTGCGCCGGAAGCCTACCTCTGTCCGACGTGCTGCCCCAGGCTCCCGCGTGCTTCCCTTGTCGCGCCTCTCGGCCGTCCTCAGCGGCACGATCTTCCCCTGCGCGACCTCATGTAGCTTGAGCACATGCCTGTACCAACGACTGGCGGCAGAGCTCTCGTTGTCGCCCAGCCACGCGCGCAGCAACCTGCTGGACGGCGCCTGGTCCACGAGCGTGCGCTCCTCGACGGACACGTCGAGGAGCCGCGCCCTCTCGGGGCAATGCACCTCCGAGAAACAGCGGAATCGCCTCTCCACGTTGCCCGTGCTCGTTTTCCATACAAGGAAGAGCTCCACGAGGCGACGGCCGCTGGGGAGCTCGGGCCACTCCACCGCAGCGCGGCCCCAAGCCTGCCGCGTGGTGCCCCCGTCTCGATGATGCACCTCGACACGCAGCAGCATTTGCCGCAGCTGGGAGATTGCCTCCTGCTCGGGGAGGTCCGCTGCCTGGCAGATGCGCTTCAAACAGGCCTCGGCTTCTGTTGCATGCTCCGTTGCAGACAGGGACAGGGGGGGGGGCAAGCGAAAGGCTGTGAAGGCGTGCAACCAAGAATGCTCTGGCCGATATAGCTTCATGTTCTCCTTCACATTGGCCACGATCCCCTGCGCTCGTCGAAGAGCCGCGCGGGCGGCATCGCGGGCTCGGGGCTCCGTTCCCTAATCGCCGATACCAACGGCCTGGACGCCAGTGCCGCACGCGAACCGCTTCGTGGCCTTCAGAAACCTGAGGGCGACGCCAGTAAACGTGTTGGGGATGGCCAGAATACCCCCCTGGACGAACAATGTATCCAGCTTGGAGAGGAAAGCGGCGGCCCTGGATTGAACGCTGGCAGCGTCGGGGTTGCTCTTGTCTCCGGCGGCGACCCAGGAGTGGTGCTCCGCGCTCAAGTCGGCCAGCAACCCCCCCAGGAGCAGGCGCGAACTGTTCTCGCCCCCGAGCCCTTCCAGAATCTGTCGGGCGAGAATGCGCCGATCTTTCTCCTTCCCCTGGGGCCCCACTCCGAGCGCCTCGAAAAAGACTTCCCAATGCCGACTTTCCCGTGCGAAGGGCCTCGCCCGACCGTTGAAACGCTGGGGGCCCAGCCGAAGTTTTTGTCGAACGCAGCGCCGTCTTCCACCAGCTGCTGCTCCCCTTGCGGAACACGGTGGAGGTAGTCAGAAACTTGGCCAGACTTGGCGGCCTCTTACCCGTTACCAGCAGCTCGTCCGTGGTCGTTATTTCGCTGTCTCCTTTCATCGAATTGGCCAGAACCTTCTGGGGCGAGTGAGACTCGCCCCGCGCGTGAAACGCCGGCCCAGGGAACGTAGCTGTTGCAGCCAGGGGTCCACTTAGATCCGCCCCATCGCTGCGCCATGCCCGAGTCTCCTGTCGCACATGCTTGCGCAAGTCCCCGTCCAGCTCCCCGCCTGCCGTCTGGCACGCGCGACGGACGCACTCCTCCAGCATGGAAGCCTTGCCGTCGCAGTCCATGCCCCGCGGGAACTCCCGCGCCCCGATCACCCGATCCACGATCCAGGGCCCTCTGGGGCCCAGCTGTTCCAGCCAGCCTGCCTTGAGAGCGTAGCTTAGGAGGAAGCCCAAAGCCTTCGGGATCGACCACAGCACGGTGCCAATTTCGACCGGGTACGCGCGGTCGAGGCCGTCCGCAGCCACGCGAAAAACAGCACCAGGTTCGAGGATCCTCTGCGTGATGATCTTCTCGTGCTGATCCATGGTGGTCACCAGCCTTCGGCGCTGCCGACTAGACTCCAAAACTTGGCGGTCGCCCCCAACGAACGCATCCCGCCACACGTCGAAACTACTGAAGGAACTGGTTGTCTCCAACATTGCACGGGTGGCGACCACTGCGCGGCAACCAGGGCGCTGGTCGGCGGTGCGGACGACGGCGGGCGCAGGCGCCACGGCTGTCGCAGCTGCTGCAGCTGATGCAGCCGTTGTGGGGAACGCAGACACGGGGAGACCCTGGTGCGCACCTTCCGCTCGAATCCGTTCTTTCCACGCCGCTTCTGCTGCCTGGTGCTCCTCGCACTGTGCATGGCGCACGAGGTCTTCCCTGCGTTGGGAACTCGCGGATCCCTGGCCTATGGTGGAATAGCAGCGAGCGCCCTTGAACGCCGAGCAGAACGAACAGACGGCAAATCTACCACCTACGCAGCCTATCCAAGTTTCACTCTTCAGTGTTACTGGATTCGTCGCAGACATCGAGGCGTTCCACTTCTCCTTGTCCTTCCAAAATTTGCAAGCGCCGCAGGTGGAAACGTGCTTTGGGTAGTCGTGGCTGGCGACGTGCTCCTCCAGGGTCATGGACAACGAAGGCGGGAACTTCTCGACTACTTTGCTCGGGGCGGTCTTCGCCTTCGCTCTTGCAGCCGCGACTGCCTCGCTGCTGGAGCCGCTGCCCTCTTCGGAGCCGCTGTCGGAGCCGCTGTTGGAGCCGCTGTCCTCTTCGGAGCCCGCTGCGTCGGCAACTCCGTCGGCGCCGTCGGCGTCGGACCCTACGTCATCATCGGCGTCCGAGCTGTTGCAGCTGCCACGGCTTGGCGAAGCTGCCCTCAACGAGGCCGCCGAGGCCGCGCGGCTCGACGGGGCCGCTCTCGACGAGGCCGCACGGCTCGAAAAAGAAGCAGGGCTCGGGGAAGCATGGCTCGGGGAAGTCAAGGGAGAGGACGAGGCCGCAGGGCTCGGGGAGGCCGCAGGGCTCGGGGAAACCGAAGGAGGGCTCGGGGAAACCGCCCCAGCGGACGACGACACTATTTGGAGCCAAGTCCTACGGACCACAATGGTGACGATGGTGATGGTGATGGCGATGCTGATGGTATGGATGGTGATGATGATGATGATGATGATGATGATGATGATGATGAAGGGGATGGTGATGATGGTATGGTGTGGGCGGTTGTGATGGTGATGATGGTGATGGTGATGATGGCGATTCTGGATGTGATGAGCACCACCATCATCACCATCACCATCGCCACCACCATCAACACTACGATTTGATAACCACCATCATTACACTCGTCGTCGGCATCAAAACACAAAAACACTCAACCGACTCAACCTAAATCCGCCCTAAATCAAGCCAGCCCATAGCCTCCTCCGTCCCTCCTATGGGTATGGACGCGTGTTGTTCGATCGTCACACAAGCGAAAGCCTGTCCAACAATTGCACGGCTAGGGGGCGGGCAGGCTTTCTTCGAAAAGGGGATCTCGCTGGACCCCTCGACGAGCTGTATGGCGGTTGTCTTCCGCGTTCCTGCCTACACGCCACCAAAGTGCAAGGCGATGCCTCTTCGAAGCGGGATCCTCGCCGAAATGGCAGGCCCAACTGCGCTGGTCTTTCAAGAGGAAAGACAACTTGTGGGGGCGTGCGTACGAGGAGGGGGCTCGGGATGACAGGGTGGGCTGCGGCATCGCTTATGCATCTTGTATTTGGTCTACTGTGGTGTTCCTCCTCCTCCTCCTCCTCCTCCTCTAGACGAAAACTGCATTGAAGAGAAAACGCGACGTCGGAGGTACCCATCGGTCGGAAGAAGTAGGTAGAAACATGAACTAGGAAGGCGTTGGAAATAGATTGGGTTTCCGCCCGCCTCCTGATGAGGAGGGAAGAGGGCAAACCACTCGACTCTTGAAATAGGAAGACGCTGAAAGTAGACTGGAATGTGGGAATACAGAAATACCTACTTTCAACGACCGTTGGGTATGGGGGCCAGCCCGAAGCTGGAGCGGAAAGAGGGGGGACGATGCCAAGCAACAACCCACGCCCAAGACGGAAGAGCGGGCGCTGCCGGGCAGGCGACGCCCGCCCCCAACATGGGCAACGCTGGCGCTGACCACCACAACGACGACGAGGAGAACGACGAGAATAGGACGACGACGCCGACCACCACGACCGCGGCCACGACGACGAGAAGACGACGACGACGACGACGACGACGACGACGACGACCACGGCCACGACGACTAGAAGACGACGACGACGACGACGACGACGACGACGACGACGAGAAGACGACGACGACAGCGGCGCTGGCGGCGGCTGCGGCGGCGGCGGTGACGCCGAGGGCGAGGACCTCGGACGCGACTTCGTCCGACGGCTGGGGCTCGGGCACGACAAGTGTCCTGCGGGCGCGGGGGGGGAGCCTGGGGTCCTGGGAGGGATCTTGCTCTTTTTTCCTCCTCGCCGCGAGGATCGAGGATCCACATTGGGCGCTTTCGTTCGGCTTCGGGCCACGGGACCGGCTCAGATCGATCCAGCCGCAAGCAGATGTGGTCCAGGGCTCCGTTTATGACTTCCTCGCGGCGCTGCATGTTTTTCGCAACTCCACGGATCTCGGGAGGGAGGGGGGTGGGCGGAGCGGGGAGGAGGGAGGATCGGGGAATCGGGGGATCGAGGGTCGAGCGGGGAGGGGGCAGGCGGGGAGAATCCGAGGATCTGGGAGGGAGGGCGAAGTTGGGAGGGGAATCCAGAGCGTTTCTCCTCGCCACGACCACAGGATCTCGATTCGTCGCGGCCACGGGGCGAATCTAAAGGACGCCAGGCGAACAAGGGAGTGCCACACGAGCCGACCGGTGTGGGCAAACTCGTGGAACCGCGTCCTGAGAGAGAGAGAGAGAGAGAGGGAGAGAGAGAGAGAAGAGCTTGTGCTGCAAATGACCGAACAATGATCGAACTAGAACCACGCGCGCGCATCGAGCACGCTTAGTTCCCACCACGTTCTTTCCATTGTCGCGAGTTTGCAGCATCAGAATTAAGATTCTGAGCAAGACGTGTCTCATGAGTATTACGAGGCCTTCGAACAATATGCTAAACGCGCGCAGCCTACGCAGATGCCATGCGAAGAGCCCCAATCGCTCCCCCGAACCCTACGTTCTCCTCCTTGCAAACCCTCAAATTCCCTCTCCTCCCCTCCCTGTCATCTCTTTGGCTTCCTGCGAACCTCCTTTTAACTCGCCTTGCCTCCGAGGGCCTCCTTCCCTCCCTGTTGCATGTGGCAAACCCCGCCGCCATGGCCTCGGAGCAATTCCCAACCATCCTGTGGTGTTGGGTCCTCGTTTTGAAGAGACAGCGCCCCGCGTTCCTCACTTCCTCCCTCTCTCTTCCTCCCCCTCCTCCCTGCGTTTCACCCACCCAATATAACGCTTCTTGGCCCCATAGGGAGCGCCACCGAAGGCCCCAGTGCCACGGTCCGCATGCGTCCCGAAATATCAATTTTGGCAGTTTCACCCAACCAGTACAGCGCCTCGTGGCCCCATAGGGAGCTCCACCGAAGGTCCCAGCGCCACCGTCCGCATGCGTCCAGAAACATCCAATTTGGCATTTCCACAGACCCAGTACTGCGCTTCGTGGCCCCATAGGGATATCCACCAAAGGCCCCAGTGCCACCGTCCGCATGCGTCCCGAAACATCCAATTTGGCATGTTCACCCATCCACTACATCCACCGAAGGCGCCAGTGCCACCGTCCGCATGGACTTCGAAACATCAACATTGACATGTGCATCCACCGAGTACAACGCTTCGTGGCCCAATAGGGAGCTCCACCGAAGGCCCCAGTGCCACCGTCCGCATGCGTCCCGAAACATCCAATTTGGCAATTTCACCCAACCAGTACAGCGCTTCGTGGTCCCTATAAGGAGCTCCACCGAAGGCCCCAGTGCCACCGTCCGCGCGCGTCCCAAAACACCCGTTCGGCATTTTTCCACCCACCTAGACAGCGTTTTCGTGCCACCGAAGGCCCCAGTGCCACCGTCCGCATGCGTCCCAAAACATCAAATTTTGCGTTGTCACCCACCCGGTACAGCGCTTCGTGGCCCCATACGGAGCTCCACCGAAGGCGCCAGTGCCACCGTCTGAATGCGTCCCCAAAAGTCGACTTCGGCACCCAATACAGCGCTTCGTGGTCCCGTAGGGAGCTCCCCCCACGGACCCAGTGCCACCGCCCGCATACGTTTCCCCCCACCCAGTGCAGCGCTTCGTGGCCCCATGGGGAGCTTTACCGCAGGAAGAGCCAGATGGGATCCACAATTGCAAAACCCGAGCCTGCACATGGTTGGGTCCGTCGCTCAGGATAACTTGTTTATCTGGCCTGCGTCGGCCATATTTGGCAACGCGCCAGGCGGCCGACGTCGGTATGAAGAGGTTTAAGGGGCTATCTGACCTCACACCTCCCGCGCTTCCCTGCCTCGCCAATCTGGCCTTCTACCTCAGAGCTGTCAAAAGACCCTTCGGTAACGCGCAGTGCGTATTTTC